TTGCTTCTTAACTTTGTTTACAGCTCATTGGTTTTTTTTTCAAATAGTTGTAATCAATCTGGCCCATTTCGTTATTTATATTTAGATTTGCCACAAAAGGGATTTAAGATAAGTTAGAATTGAATGCAGGGATACAATTAATTAAAATGAAGAAAAATGGGGCAAATAAAACCAATAAATGTAGATAAGCAAGATAGAGGCAGAACTTGAATCAACTTCTTATTTTTAAGAAAGATACCAGGGGCCAGGGAGATGGTTCAGTGGAATAAGCACTTCCCTGGCAAGCACAAGGACCTGAGTTCAATCCCCGGTTCCACCAAAAAAAAAATAAAAATAAATAAAAAAAAATAAAAAAAAGAAAGATACCATTACACATTTTGCATTTACTAGGCATTGGCCACAAACTTGGTGGTATAGTCTGCTGCAATACAAATTAGCAAGTAAATAAACTATAGTAGACTCCAAGATCAACAGTGTTAGGAGGAGAAAACAGACCACATACTTAGGAGACGCACTGGTGTCCCTACTTCTGGTATTGATTCCCAGAAAGGGTTTCACCTATATGTCCTCATGAAAACAGATAATAATCTCTCTCTTCTCTCTTCTCTCTCTCTGTCCCTGTTTCTCTCTCTCTCTCTCTCTCTCTCTCTCTCTCTCTCTCTCTCTCTCAGAGCAGTTTCACCACTTAAAAATACTTTGCAACCATATTTGAGGAGAAACACCAAGTAGCTATTATGAAGACTTCAAAGCTGCTGCTTCAAGCTGCTAAACGTAGATTGGGTGCTTGAGCTAGATGCTGCGTTCGGAAGGAGCTCAGCAGACAACTAGTGCTGCATCAGTCCAGGGAACTGCAACCGTACAGGTGTACGTGAGGTGTCAGGAAGAAAGTGTAGCACAAAGGAAAACCATCTGCAGGAGCCAGCACAGATGGAAACCCTGTATTCTATGTAAACTTTATGGATGTCTGATTGTTGGAAAGAATTTTTGACATGAAAATTAGTATTTTTAGTTGATTTGGCATTATATTTTAATAGGATAAAAGCTTAATACATGTATAGGGGTCAGCAAGGGTATTTAATTCAGTCTTCCACTACAAGTTTAAATCTCCTATGAGCTGTCTTCCTCAAGATACAAGTAGCCAGTTCTTGAACAAATGATTGATGTGGTGACTAAGAGCCAGTTTTGACGATAGCAGGTCCGCTTTGGTGTCCTGGACTTTCGAGTGCCACCCTCTGTGAACGTGGGCAAGGTCCTTGGTGTCCCCGCCTTTCAGTTTTCTCATCTGTAGAAGTTTGAGAGAGATAAAGCCCCTGGCGCCTGGGTGCTGAGTAAGAGTCGCCTCTTCCCACGATTACAGATGCCTTTAGGGAAGCCCAGCTCGGCCTGGAGAGGGCCAAGGGTTTGTTTTGGATTGGTTAGTTTTTGGTTTTTAGTCATGGTAAATGTTCACTCCTGGTAACAGCAGAATAGCATTTATAGAATTACCATCTGCCAATAACAGCTTTCAACTCTGGCCCAAAAAACAGTGCCAAGAATTAGAAATTCATAATTAAAATAAATGCAAGAAGCCCCCGGGGAATGATTTAAAATAGGAAGCTGGAGAAAAAACATGATGCTTGAAATACTGCAGCCTACTAAGTGAGCTCACAGGAAACAGCCTTTCCCCTTCTTTTCAATTATTTATTTGTGTATCTATTTGACACAGGGCCTCGCTATGCAGTTCAGACTCATAGCGGTCCTGCTGTCTGAGCCTCCCCAGTGCTGGGATCACAGGCCTGGCCACCACGCCCACTTGCAGAGCCAGCACAGCCTGCAGTACTAGGCATGGAACCTGGGTCCTTGAGCTTGCCAGGCAAGCGCTTGCGCTGCGGAGCTGCCTCCCCAGCCCCGAAGAGCCTTCTCTCTGAAGCCACTCCTCCTCCTCACCTTGCAAAGTACAGTGAGTGAGGCTTAGTGACAGGGATGGGGTCTCAAAAGTTCGTCCTTAGGCGACTTGAGCGTTGCATGAATGTCATAGAGCGGAGCTCGCCAACCTGGATGATGCAGCCCGCTACTCACCACGTGGGCGTGATTGTGTGTGCCGCGCTGTATGTCACTGTCTGTGTGGGATGTGTGCTTCCACCAGCCCCATCACACACGCATGAGTGACTTTTAGTGCTGTGGCCTTAGGGTGGCAGCCATGACACTCAGCAGCAGGAACTTTTTGTCTCTGTCGTACGCTGATGGTACCACTGTCACATATGTGATCTGGCATTGACCAAATATCATTCTGTGGTGTGTAACTGTCCACAGGGAAAAATGCTGAATGAGAAAGAGGATAATGACTGGGCCCAGGCCTCAGAAATCAGAGTGCAGGTCTGTCCCACTCCTCCTGAATAAGGGGGAGTCTGCATGGGGAGCCCCCAAGTCTGTGCGTTAATTCTCCTCCTCAAGCTTTTAGCTGCCTACCAAACTCCACACTGGTGTGGGGATACCTCAGGAAGTCCAGTGTAAGCATAGCTGGAAGCCTGAAGCAACTAGGCAGAGCATTTACCAACTGGAAAGGCAAAGCTTGAAATCCAAATCAAGTAAAAAGAACTTAGGAATTTCTTTGTGTTTTTCATTTAGCCATAGGGCGCAATTGCTTAGGAATGAGGGTCCCAGGAGCAAGGACTATAACTGAGGCCTAAGAGCGAAACAGAGAAGTTGACCACGTCACACCGCCCCTAGATTAGGTTGATTTGTCAGTACGTGAGCTGTGTGCTAAGACAAAACACACCTGGAAAGAAAACAACACTGTGCACACTGGACAGAATTTAAAAGTACTGTATATATAACTAAGAAGAAAACCATTGTCTGTAACCAGAGGAAAAATAAGCAGATCCTCAGAAGTGTCAGATAATAGAATAGAGTGTGAAGACTTGCAAATAAGTACGAAATACAGGTGAAATAAACTATTGGAAAAGATTGCGAATGAGCAAAAATGAGGAATAGCAGGAGAGATACAGAAATTAGGAACAAATCAAATGGGAGTTATGGAACTGAAAAATACATCTGAAATTAAAAATTCATTGAAAGAACTTAAAAGTGAATTAAACACCACAGGAAGAAAAAAACTATGCATTGTAGATACATTAGTAGAAATTATCCAACTGAGTAGAGAAATAAAAATGATTTTTTAAAAATTGCAGTGCTGACAGCCCCTGTGACAATATCAGGTACCCTATCAGATATGAAATTAAAGACTCAGGAAAGCGGGCAGGGCTGGCGCAGCATGTGGTGCTGGGGATCAAACGGTGGTCCCTGTGCTTGCCTAAGCTTGCGTAAGCAGGCGCTTTAGTCCACTCCAGGGCAGGAATGTTATAATGGAAAAACATTTTCTGTATTTGATTAAAAACATTAACTACTCTCAGATTTAGAAATCTCAACAAGCTTCAAGCAGGATAACTTCTAAAAATCAAAGATAAGGACAATTATCATAGAGCATGGGAAGAAAAAGACATAGTACAAAGTACTAAGTATAGGTAATAAAAAGAAACTGTCACATCTCATCAGAAACTTTGGAGATGAGAGGGTAACAGATTGTCTTCTTAAAAGTGCTGAAAGAAAAGTAAACTGGAAAATACAGTGAAGTTTTACATAAAATATTACAGTAAAAAATACATTGCACAAATCCCCTAATATGTGCTCAAAATACTACAGCTCATTTCCAACATACTTACTCTGTTGTTCTTGCCAATGTGTCTTTTACTGCAGCAAATTCTTTTAAAAATGCAGACTTTGTACTTTTTGATCATCTTACACACTGAACTTAAAGTTAACTCTGTCACTACTTACATTAAATCCAAATGGGCCAAAGTTTCTAGTTAAAAGCACAGATTTTAGACACTTTAAATAAAAGACACCAATGAGTAGAAAATAAAAGGATGAAGACATGGACACTATATAAACATTGCACATAAGATAACCACTGAGGTTATATTAATATAAAGATAGATTTTAGTGCATTTAGTACAGGGTCTACATGGTCTCACTACGTACTTCAGACTTGCAGTGATCTTCTTGTTTTCAGCCTCCTGAGTGCTGGGATTACAGGTGCACACCACCATGCCCAGTTCCAATTGCTGGGTCATCGCACCCTAGGGGCAGGGCTGGCACTGCATGCCAGGTAACAAACCCTGGCCTCTGCGCTCTCCCTAAGCCAAAGATAGAATTTTAAACATAGATGCTGCCAGAAATAAAATGAAAGATTTGCAAACATCATTTTATTAAGTAGGCATAAACCCAAGTATGTTGGCATCTAATGATAAGAAGTGCTTATTTGCTAAACATGTGTCCAGTAATTCCCTTTAGGGAGCGCTTTGCCTCTATTAGGAAGATAAGTTTACTGAAGCAGGTGGTCTGAGCCACAGCATAGGCTATATTTGATGCTTTGGAGAGTCAACTAGACTACTGGAGATGAGGCCATGGGGTTACTAATCTCAATTTATGCAGAACTGGATTATTTCCTGAACATAGGACTTAGTGAAAAGTCTGGACTGACACCAAACAGACAGGTCCTGCAAAGGGGAGAGTTCATTTTCCTTGGAGATGGAGAGTAGAGGGAAGAAAAGAGAATGTGGATAGTCCCTAGGTAGGAGATTGACAAAGCGTGAAATTTCCCCTTCAGTGATCCCTCAAACCACAAGTAAAACTGCTCAACTCATAAAAATTAGAGTTCTAAATGTGTGTGTGTGTGTGTGTGTGTGGCCAATGAAAACATTGTCCTTGGAAATTTGTAGCAATCAGAGGGATGGTTTTAGAGCATCATAAGCTATGGTATAGGAGATCGGTGTCGCTTGGGTACAGTAAGGGTGAAAAGGGCTGAAATTACACCTGGAGATTATGATTGTACTAAGACTCTAAGTGGCTGGCAGAGGTAGGTTAGCATCCCTGGAACTGCCCCTGAGACACAAGATGATGCTTTGAAGTACTTCTGGGGAAGTGACAGAGTATTCTGATGGCCCTGTTTCCTCCTCTAGGAATGAATAAAACTGAGAACCAATCACAATGTGACATCAGACTGAGGAAATTTTCAGCAGAGCCTGTCAGCCTTTGGACATGTGAGAAAAAACGGTTGGATTCAATATCTTGTTGCTCAAAACATTCCTATTCAGACTGGGATCCTTTCCTGAGTGGTCACTTAATGTACCCAAATTCCCCAGAAACTGCTCTGAGTCTCTGCTGTCCCTCCCCTGGCCTCCTGCCAGTGTGTCAGCCACTTAATTCACTTTCTCCCTGTTGCACACAAATCTGTGCCTCGCTTTGGCTGTCTCTTTGTTTGTCAAAATGAGCTGTTTTGTTTGCTTTGGCTTCCTCTTTCTCTCCTATGTCTTGAAAAGAATAAATTGTCAAATAAATTCATATTATATCCTGATAAAAATGAGTATACATAAGTATTTTGTCTTTCATTTATTGTGTGTGTGTGTGTGTGTGTGTGTGTGTTACTAGGGATTAGACACTGGGTCTTAACACTATCACACTGACCTAAATTGTCAGTTCTTTTTAGAATATTTTATCTTGACATAGGCTCTCACTAAATCACTCAGTAACCTGAGCTCTCATAATCTTTTTTTAAAAAAAATTTTTTTTATTTATTTATGTGTGTGTGTGTGTGTGTGTGTGGCCAGCTCAGCCCACCAGGGGGCAGGGCTGGCTGGCATGTGGTGCTGGGGGATTGAACCACGGTCCCTGTGCTTTGCTAAGCTTGTTCTAAGTAGGTGCTTTAGACCACTGAGCCATCTCACCAGCCCCCGAGCTCTCATAATCTTATCATTTTTCTGCCTCAACTTTCCCAGGTTATGGGATTATAGACAAGTGCCACCACGCCTGGCTCAATTTTTTTAGGCATTTCCATTTAATAGACATAGTTCTTGGCTCTGAATACCCAAAAATCTGTCTCTTAAGATGCTCGTACTATGTGAAGGCTAACTGAAATGTAAATGTACAGTTCACAATACGTAGTATAGGGCCGGCCAAATAGCTCCGCAGATTAAAGTGCCCTCAAGCAGGAGCAAGGGCTGGGGGCTTCATCTCCAGGCCTGCCATGCTGGCCGCTTCCCTGGAACGTGCTGAGAGGGCAGTTGAGGCTGGGCGTGGTGGCGCACGCCTGTCATCCCAGCTCCTGGGAGGCTGTAAACAGGTAGATCACTCTGAGTCCGATCTAGTAGTGAGACTCTGTAGACCCTTCCCTAAAATATAAAATAATAGTAATAATAATAATAAAAATATATAGTATAGATGTTAGGGTGAAGCCTGAGCAGGATGTTTCAGGGTGAGAGACAAACAGAGGAGGTGACGCGGCCATGGTATTAGGAGCAGAAGAAAGCGAGGGGGAGGAAAGGTGGAAACGAAACTCTCTATCCCCAAATATTGTTAGTTAAGTCACAAGATGATTACTTCCTGAAAGAAGTGTAGAGAAGATGTATGGGGTAGATGAAATCCCTAATGAGACCGCGAATGAGGAGAATGGCTTTTTATAGCATATAAAAGATAATTTTTATCAGATAATGAAATTGTTTTCAGTCTTCGGAATGAAAATGAACCCCTTGCTAATGCAGAGCTTGCTAATAAAGGGAGAGAGAGAGAATGTTGGGATTACACTCAGGGTAGGCAGAAACCCACCTAAATAGTCTAGGAAAAAAAAAGAAGATAATGAAGTAATCAAAATAATTGCTTAATGGGGAATGTGAAAGATCTGCAGTGCTAAATTATAAATGTACGTTTTCAGGAAAAATGAGGTGACCTTAAGGAACAGATTAGAAACCTAAACTCACGCCAGCCAGAAGCAATGCTTCTCATTAGCAAAGCTGAAGATTAATTAAATCTGGGGAAGCTCTTTGAAATCCACAAGTGCGAGTTACACTCGAATACAATACAACTGGTATATTGGTATCATAATTAATGATTAAAATAGAGCTCTTTATTAAATGTGTTCTGCCGTGGTTCACGTGACAGATAGGGAAATGAAGATGACAAAAGTGTGTCCCTCAAAGCCAAAAGTGACTCTAACGGCATCTGCTTCTCAGAGTTGGGGGTGTGTGGTTTAGAGGTGCTATACCTACCTAACAGTTCTCTTCCCCTTTTAAGGTACCCTAGAGATGAAGCCGTGCTTGATGGGAGTGCTCTGCCCCCCAAAATCTCTCTAGAAACCTGGCAAGGAGGATGGAGGGGAGCTGCTGATGGATTGTTTTGGAATATCTCTGGATCTTTTGTTTCAGATGAATGATCTCAGATAGCAGAAGCGGAGGAAGCAGGCTGAAAATGCAAAGCCCCTGACAGCTCTTAGTGCAGTCCGAGGGGGGCTCCTTGTTTGTAAGGCAGCCATTCTTGACAGGGCATGTTAAGGATGGCTAAGTGGAAGCCCAGCTTTACAGGGCAAGATAAACAAAAGTCTGTTTCTTGAGGAGACCATGGAAAGGGGGAAAGTGGGAGGAAAAGGGCGAGACCCAAGGGAGGCAAAAGCCCCTTCTGGCTCGGAACGTGTTTCTGCTGGATGAGGCAGATGTACGTGGGGAAAGTAGGGAAGGAGCAGTTCGGGTGAGCTGGACAGAGGAAGATGTTGCAGAAACTCAACAGGTTTGGAGCCGTTGGAGCTGAATCAAAGGCAATATAATAATTCCAAACCATGTTGCAGTGCTTGGATGTCAGAATTACCCAGAAGCCCACCTTGGGTAGGGAACAGGAGCTCTGCTGTTTGAGACAGAGCTGAGCCACATCTACTCTACTGACAGTGGGACTCACCTAGTGCTGCATGCTGCAGTGTGATTTCTAATTCTAGCTTAGTTGTTTCTTTGAGCAGGACAGGAAGCTTTGAATCTGAGTTGGGTGCATGCACTACCAAATTTAGACCATTTAAATATGCTGCTCTTGGTCCCATTTAAAGATATTTGTGGGGCCAGTGAGATAGCTCAGCAGACCAAAGCCCCTGTTTAGACAAGCTTAGGCAAGGACCATGGTTCTATCCCCAGCACCACATGCCATGCCAGCCCCGCCCCGACCCCGGGACGGGCTGAGCCAGCCGGAGCCCAGCACACACCTGTAATCCCAGCACTGGGGAGGCTGAAAGCAGGAGGATCACCATGAGTCTGAGCTGCACAGTGAGGCCCTGCAACAACCAAATACATTAAAAAAGAAAAAAAGAAAAAAGATATCTGTGAATATTATGGAACAAATGGGTTGCATTACCTTACAAAATCAGGACTTTAAGAGATTCCGTTCTGAGAATTCTTGCAGATGATAAAACTAGACACATATATAATTTTTAATTTGTTTTTAAAAGTGCAATAAAAAGTTATAGTCTGACAACTTGGATGGAAATTTGCATAGCAATTTCATTTGTTTAAATATTTTATTTTTCTCATTATTCCCCTGTCTCTCAAATACTCCAAAAGACATGGTTTATAACCTCTTATTTTTCTCCAAGTGCTCCCTTTAGATGATTTCTTGTTGAATCTCCCTTTTCCCGCTGTGGATATTTTCTTGCCGAGATCTTTGTATTGTTTCTCAGTCACTTGCAATATACAAACAAGTCCCATCTGGGGAGTTGAGATTCACTTCTAAGTATTAGGAGGCTCGGTCCAGTATAAATCAAAATTTCAACCTTACATCCAATTCAGAGATTCTTCTCTCCTGCCCACCAGAGAAGCTTGTAGCCTGCAGCCAGAGAGAGGCAAGGCCTACTGTCTCAGCAGTTTTCCTTGTCTCATCTGCCCCTTCTAGATACTTTTCATTTCTTGCATTTGGGGGGTACACAAAGCAGGTTATTGTAAGAAGAGTAAAACCACTTCCTTACAGCTTGCCTGTGCCTGTGACAGATTCCTGGGGTGCCCCTGCATTGGCCCACATCACATTCCCAGGCATCCACCAACCAATGGGAAACAAGAGCCTGGAGGGACCTGGGGCACATGACAGATCCCACTTCTTCATTGTCCCATACGGAGTTGTTTTGTTTTTGTTTTTGTTTTTCTTTCTTTCTTTTTTCTTTTTTCTATTTAGTAATCCTAAGAAGTCCTAAGTATCCAACATTTTTTAAAATTAATTTTATTGAGAAAGAAATAGCAATGAAATGGTTTCAAAACAGGTTAGTAGGACAGTTAACAATAATGACTACATTGCATAGTGTTGTCTTCATAGTAGTTATTCAGAGGACAAGATGCAGACATGATATCTTGTCTAAACACTTTCAGTATAAATCTTTCTTATCATTGAACTAAGAGAAAGTGCAAGGCTCATCATGGTGCAGAGGCCAGTGTGATGGACATATTTCACGTCCTTTCTTGCTTCACTCCAGTTCTTCCACACTTGTATGCCCTCGGATTTATTCCAGCCTGCCCCCTGCACAAAGAGTCAGTGCTGGTTTCTTGCTGTAGGCTCTGTTGTCTAGGAGACCTGCAGTAAAGAAACTTTCAAACTGACACCAGATAGAGAAGTAAGAAAGAGCCTGGTGGAGATGGAGTATACTATTCTAGACTTGGAAAGCTGTGTAATAGATTGGGGACCAAAGCAAATTGGAGTATGGCTTTTGATCTGAGTCTTATTGTTACAGTTTGTGTATATTTGTTCCCCCAAAGCCTCATGCAGTTATGAGGCAGACTTCTAGAGGTGTGATTGACTCATGATCTATTGGGATTATGGGTGTGAGTACTATACCTAGCCAGGGGTGGAGAGCCTGAATGCAATTTATTTATTTATATTTTTCCAAAGTTTTATTGATAAACAGCAATGAGACAGTTTCAAATCAAATCGGAA